CGCCCTGATGACGGAGGCAGTATGACCTCTGAAACGTCGGTAAACATCGACCAGACTACACAGCGCAACAACCCAGATGACAGCCATCTTCAGACTCACCGCCGTTAAAACCTCAAATCCTATATACAGAAATGAATCTGCAAATCCTTTTTAGTTTGCCCCGTAATAGCGAGATTTTGTGAAAGCAAGACCGAGTCCTTCAACACTTCGAAATATTCAAGGATCTTCTCATTCATGATTCAATTATCTGTTTCATTACTAAAATACATTAAGCCTACTGCAGTGCTAAGGAGATGAGGCCTATGTATTAATTTCCCCAGGATTCACAGCATATTTGGTGCTAACATATATTCATAATCAGTGTCACTGACAATTGCAATATTGTGCAGTTATTATACATTTATATTCACCTAGTTCCTTCCATTCTACGCACGAAGTATCTTTCTTGCTAAGAAAAATGTATAAGCCCGACTGGAAGTTCAATAATTCGTTCAGACACGTAATTATTATCAGATTCAGCACCAAAATAAAATTTTTATTGTTTAGTCTGAATGGAAAATTTTGTTTCCATACAGATCCGTACACGTATATACTGTCACGAGACTAATCTACTCTAGTACCAAAAATTATTATTACATTCAATCGAAAACGACCTAACTTTTCAGTGATAAAACCCTAAGGATCTATGTTTGTTCCATAAATGCTGTGGATGTGACGTACGCCTCTGAAACGTCCCTTGTCACGAATAGCATATTCAGTAAGAAGTAAGGGGGAAATGAAGGTATAGATCCACGCGTTCTTAACCTCAAAACAACTTCTGGTTCGCGTGGACTTGGTATGGAAATGCAAAATTACTTATGGGGAACTGAACCAAAGTTGACCGAATCCAATTAGCTAACTGAGCTATTTTTTCTGTGGCTTGCAGCGGTGAACATTTATTTACTTTATTACGCTTTACTTAACGACACTGTCAGCAGGTAAGATAATGCAACGTAACCTAATTTAAGACCATTTCATGGACAAGTACTGAAGAGACCCCCGAAAGTCGGTCTCCGGACACAAATTTGAACTCAGGACCTCCAGAATATAGAGCTGGAGTGCTAACCACTCTGCCTCGAAATCGTAGTCTCGTAGGTGATTACCGAAGTTTTGGAAGAACACACCGCCTCTATCTTCAGGGCCTACTTCTAACGTTGTCACTTCCCAGTGGCCCACGAGCCACACTTTTTTACACACTGCTGATCTGACAGAAACACGCGACGGCTTCAAGAGGTTCTATTGTGCGTGGTTTTATTTGCTTCCACAAACCAGTACCGAAATGAAATTTAAGAGAACATGAGTTTCTACTTTCACCTTTAAAACGAAAGCTCAATAAATTATCTGTAACAAACTAGAATGCTGAGAAAGGTTAAATGTGTAACTGATGTGAAACAGTAGAAGCACATGTTATGTACTTACAAGAATTTGGTAAAACGCGTGACTATTAGCTTCTCAAGTTGTTCTCCATTCCATAATTTGTATTTTAGAATTTATTCACAAACTGCTCGTCACCCCTCCATATATTATTTATCTATTTACATCACAAAAATGAGCGGATTTAGAACCTTGCTACACTGAAGTGAATTTTCACAGGCTGACATTTCAATTAAAAATAAAGTATACAAGTGCAGTTCACACAGTACTGTATTTTTGTCATTCGGTGGCTTGGACTGGAGTGTCATATAAACAGAACAGCACGTTTTGTTGGGTTCCCGCGTCATATGAAGTACTGTTGAGTGAAACTGGAATACATTAGCTTAAATACGATAATTTACCAATGTGTATGGGGTACATCCCAGTCATTAGCGAAGCTCTTGTGGGTGTACAAAGGGGTTGGACGTAATGGCTGTTGAGAATAACGCCATTGTAAGCCAGGGCGTCAATGTTTGGCGTCGGGATCTGGTCAGAGCCATGAAAACTCACGTCGTTCCAACCCTGTAATTTAAACGCATATTAATATCTGCGTACATTTATAAATTAATATTTATATTCTTTAATTGCAGTTTAGTCACCATTATTTGTTATGCACCTTCAGAGGAAAAAAAATTATGTAAGATTTGAGGTTTTCACAGCGGTGAGTATGAAGATTTCTGTCTTCTGGGTTGTTGCGCTGTGTAGTCTGGTCGATGTTTACCAACGTTTCGGAGGTCATACTGCCTCCATCATAAGGGCGATGAAGATTTTTATCTTCTGGGTTGTTGCGCTGTGTAGTCTGGTCGATGTTTACCAACGTTTCGGAGGTCATACTGCCTCCATCATAAGGGCGATGAAGATTTTTATCTTCTGGGTTGTTGCGCTGTGTAGTCTGGTCGATGTTTACCAACGTTTCGGAGGTCATACTGCCTCCATCATAAGGGCGATGAAGATTTTTATCTTCTGGGTTGTTGCGCTGTGTAGTCTGGTCGATGTTTACCAACGTTTCGGAGGTCATACTGCCTCCATCATAAGGGCGATGAAGATTTTTATCTTCTGGGTTGTTGCGCTGTGTAGTCTGGTCGATGTTTACCAACGTTTCGGAGGTCATACTGCCTCCATCATAAGGGCGATGAAGATTTTTATCTTCTGGGTTGTTGCGCTGTGTAGTCTGGTCGATGTTTACCAACGTTTCGGAGGTCATACTGCCTCCGTCATCAGGGCGATTCATCGCAACAACCCAGAAGATAGAAATCTTCGAAACAAATTTAATTTCATTCTGTTTAACCTATCCAGTGCTACGCGTGATATCTGGCTTGAGAGTACCAACACAGAGAATTTAGTTTGTCTCTGAGAGGATGAGTGGATGAAAATCGTCTCTGTTACGATCAGATGAGACGGACTATTGTTGCCTTTTAATAATTTAATTTACATCAAAGTAATGACAAGTAGACGAGATTATCTTACTTAGTGTAGCAACATCCAAGCGAGTGTTAAAAATCAAATAGTAATTGTAACTAAGTTTATATTACAGACGAAGTATTTTTCCATATCAGTGGATATGTTAACAGCCGAAACAGCAGATTATGAACTGCTGAAAATTCACACATTTTCTCTTGAGCAGCCGTTAAACTCATTAACTTGAAGTATGACGTGGAGTTTCCGACTGAGTGTAATTGCTCCCATTCTGTTCAGTGAAACACTGAAATTACCAACCTTACCAATAATTAACCAAGAAATTATTTTACCTTCTGAACGTATGTGGACGGGACTGTGGTTCCAGTGGAATGATGCAGCAACTCGTAATGCAAAACTAAAGGTGAAAATTTTGAAGGAATTATTTGGTGATCTCACTGTTTATCGAGATGTGCGGCCTCCGAGATCTCCGAACCTACCACATTTGGGGATTCTTGAACGATAATATGTAGGTAAAGTAACCCTCACACATCAGACGAAATTAAACGAAATACTAAGAGACGCATTTTAAAAACATTATAAGAAGAACCATTATACGCGTTGAGCCAGGCACGCAGAAGAAACAAATTACACATCGTAAAACGTAATGGTAATATGTATAACTTGATGATCATAATTGTCATACCTTGGGTTTCGATCATACTGTAACGTTTAATTGAAATAATCAGTGTGTAGGCGGACAGAGTAACAAAATTGCTTCACAAACAGAAGGAAAACGCAGGGGCTGCAGTATAATTTATTTAGCCCATCTCTTCCATTAGTAGATTTTTATATGCAACAAATGAATATGAAAAGTTTGTTCGGAGTTGTAAACTGTAACAAGAAGACACGTTTTGAAACTTTGTATTTTTTATTTTTAAACTGCGGTTCAAATATCAGCAATTATCTGTTTAATGTTGTTTTTCTTTCCACGGAGAAATTAAAAATGCATAATTTTACTCGTAAAATTTGAAGGAACAAGATAATTTGGAGATACAAGGGCTGAAAATGTAAGATGACATCAAACTGAACCTTAAATAAATAGAGGGTAAGGATGTGGATTTTATTTATCTGACTCTTGATCTCGTACAGTGAAGACGATACTGAAAATCAGCGTGTACAGAAAGCGCGTAATTCGAGTAGTTCAACAACTATTAGCTTGTCATGAAGGATTCACGAAATTATTTGTTCTTGATACAGGGGGGTAAATGTTTTGCTGTGTAAACTCACCATATCATCAGCAACAATGAAGACAATATGCGGTGAAGAAGCGGCCATCGACGTTACCAGCAGGAGCACAAGACAACACGGTTCTCTTAGCATGGCTGTAGAGGCACTATTATCATTCGCGATACTTTCACTGCCTCTCAGTACATTATGCTGCCAACCATCCGGTGGCTCTGATGTACAGTAGGGCAGTAGGTAGATGCTGGCAGGCACGAAATCAAGTTTCTGCAACCACCCCACTACATGCTCAAGCTTTTCTCTGTTCGCTGCCACATATAGCACCTCATCACTTTCAGATACTGTCACCGAAACAAAACATGACTCTTTAGACTGAAACGGCATTGTTGTACAACCATATGCATGGATCGGATTTGTTTCTGGGAAGCTCAGCTAATCGGATAATTCAGTTTCTATGGACCCACAATTTCATTACACGGAGACCAACAGAATGTACCGAAAGACAAATATCGATCTTGTGGATTGTAATGCTCCACGGAATTCCAGGTAGATGTAAACGATTAGGTGGAACATAATATTCCCGCCTTCAGCTCTGAAGAATGTGGAAATCCACATTCCATTACAAGCCAGAACTACGCTGACATCTTCACCACGGATAATGCAAAACATTCTTTCTGATGTTTTACTGTTCCTTTGAAACTCATTTATGCATTTAATACGGATAGCCATCGGTTTCACGTATAAAACCCCTTTATATTTCAGTTTATTAGTTAAGAAAACAACATTCCGCGCACTATCAAAATATAAAATTGTGACAAAAATACTCAACCGAAATTTCTTCTAGCTAATGTGGAATTACTGGATACAGCGTCCTTCCTCGTACCAATGTTCGTCAATGTCTTGTCATATTGTCCACCTTCTATTTCTCTGGATCACGTGCAGGCGTTACTAATACAGGCTGTGTTACGCAAACCGTTTCTTTGCAATTGTACCTCAGCGACACAGACAAAAGCTCACCTTGGAACCGTAAACGACGGGACTGGCTTGCTTTTGTTTTTCGGATTGTTTTGTCTCAAGAAACTACCTGCATCTACGGCAATGAAACACTGAGGTTTCCTTGTTTTCTATATCAACATTACTCAGAGAATATCCGTTCGAAGTCGGTATGAAGCCTTACGAGAAGTTGGTTATAAACTGAATGTAACAAGCCGCCTGCAATTTCGTACTAATAACGTTGGTTTATTATAAAACCAAGATTGTCCCTGTGCTTATGAATGACGCTCCACGTGCTCTTAACGTCCATTTGTGAAGGGTACACGTGAGCTATTGGGAAATGGACGAAAGAGATTACTCTATTTTTAAATGCTAGCAACACAAATTTAACCACAATTCATATTTTATAAACACGCTCGTGTCAAAGTCTTTCTTATTAATAAGTATCTTTGTACATATTATTTTTAAAAGGAAAAGACAACTAAGTGTGACAATAGATGAAGCGATCGGTACACAGGCAAAAAAGCCAATGTCGTCTCTAAATCACATTACTATTGCTGCTACATTACTTACCGCAGGAATTCTCAACATTTTAAAGACATAGGAACACTTTAATTTTTATTAAATTATTGTATCAGTGGCCTTCGACTGTTTTCAGTTTAATAATCTTTACTTTAAATTATAATCGTCTGCACGAGACGTACATACAATACTGACCTAAAATTCAGACCAATCAAATTCTGGCGTGCTTCTGTGTTTAAATTAAATTTGATCAATGTCCTCAAAAATTATCTGTACCTGAAGAAACGTGCAGTTGACGTCCACATCCAAAAGTATCTCTTGACTGCATTGCAAATGTTGACATACAGCTGGAGAGTTAACTGAAGTGTCTCCATTGAATTATAACGTACGAGCAAATACGGTCGAAATTACAAAGCTTAAAGCGGTACAGACATCCTAAAGGAAGTTGTATCATTGTCATTGAATTCAGTAACGTTGCTATGATGTGACCAATCACGTAGTCTTTCCCTCGAAAGGTAAAACAGTAATGGGAGATAATTATTGGAAGCTTCTAGCTTTGATGCCGAGATCCTAAGCTTTGTTAAGCGTGTGAAAGAATGGTGTATGCCATTGTGTTTGTTACTGGCACTGATGTTAATTTATTGTGCTAGAAATATATTTTCGTGAAACTAATCACCCTAAAAATTTCAATCAGAATTTTTTTGTAGGCCTTAATAATGGCTGTCAGTTAATAGTGTCCAACATGATAAAGAGCACTTTACTGTGCGCATGTGACGAGGCCATGTTTAGCAGGATTTGATGACATCTAGATTTTATTTGTGACATCTGCTTTATTAAAAAATGGTTGCACAATTTATTCACTCGTTTGTTATAATGCTGCATTCAGGGAAACCACAGTCGTAAATCTGGAACTTATGCTTGCAATTATACCTACACCGTCATACTACCGATATCGATCGTCAACGATCTTAAGGACCGGAAAATGTGTGAGCTATGAGTGAAAAATCTCTTCCGTCTTAGATAAGCCACACTATCTCACCTTTTCTAGTTGCAATTATCAATCACTCTATATAAGATTTGAGGTTTTCACAGCGGTGAGTATGAATATTTCTGTCTTCTGGGTTGTTGTGCTGTGTAGTCTGGTCGATGTTTACCAACGTTTCGGAGGTCATACTGCCTCCGTCATCAGGGCAGTATGACCTCTGAAACGTTGGTAAACATCTACCAGACTACACGGCGCAACAACCCAGAAGACAGAAATCTTCATTATCAATCACTCTGTTATCAAAATTTACGCGGTTAAGTGGCTTGCGTGGAAGACGGTGTGTTTGCAGACCGAACAGAATAGTTTCACACTGGGAAAAGACGCAATAACGAGTATAATAATTTTGCAGTGCACGGTAAAACCAGCAAAAGATCCAGAGTGATCTATGGGTCATAACTTTCGTCTTGCAGGACTGGAATCGGAGAGAGGGCCTCGAATTAAAAAACGCGAGATAGCCAGTCAGCAACTCATCGCTTATCTGGTAAATGATAAATGCTAATAACAGAAGAAAACCAGCATGCAGACATCGAAAAAATCAAATGCGAACTTGGTCAATACTGCCATTCGGAATATTAGATATATTTCTCTATCTTTGCCAACCAAATCACGGTTTCCGCATTCTTTTCGGGGCTCAGAACCTCGCAATAAACAGGAAACAGCTTATAACCGCATTACTGGTACTTCATTGCAGGAAAATGAAAGAGCTACAAACAGAAACACAGGTCTTTAACCCAGTCCAGGTTTTTAGATTCGTTAGTCCCAGAGTATAGCTCCACGGATTCCTCATCTTGGCACAATGTAGTTGGTGAGTCACTTTCCCTGCATACGTATGTATGAAGTTGCACTTAGGCGTAAAATCTGAGTTAGCTATAAAGATTCTTCTGCTGACTAGATTCATGGATGAAAGTAATGATTTTATGCTAGAAGTATGCGACACTAACATATATGTGTCAATATAAAAGAGCACGATTGTTTAATACTGTGGTAAATATGGTCTCATACCGGTCATGCTATTGTAAATAATGGTCTGTTATTAGCTTGGAACGTCATCAATGGTGAATGTCACAAATCCAGTAGACATTCTTCTTAGCTCTCAATCCTGTATCAATCTATCTCAAGTCGATCTACAATCTCCGTGCGTTTACGGAAAACTCATCTCCTGCGAAGGCGCAGGAAATGAAATGCAAATGAAGACCAAATCGCACAAATTCGCCGTGCTACTTCGGACTCAAAACGTGGCAGGACTCTCAGACTTTCTACGGGCCAAATGTCACAAACAAGCAGGAAATTCCTTGAACATTAATTCAACGTGTAGGCCCAATACAAGTTTGTGAACAAATTTAATGTTCACAAGTTTTTTTCTCTTTCAGTACATCATGTTCCATTTCAAACGCAAGTCAACCATTATACACGAACCCCTTCATGCAAAAAACTACTAAGCCAATGGCAACATTGAATTCTTGCAGCCGATGTACGACTTCAAATCGGCATGGCCGCACTTTTAGCTCTTCTGTTACGCGATGAAAACTTTCCAATACAGTACGTTATTGTCAGACTACGCATTACCGAATGCTACATGAACAGCAGCAAACGATTCGGAAGCGATGGTCGAGAATGAACATAAGTTCCGCTCGTCAAAACGCCATATTCACACCTGCACAGTCATCGCACAACTGAAGATGGCTGTCTTCCGGGTTGTTGAGCCGTGTAGCCTTTAGAAGTTTACCAACGTTCCAGAGGTCCTTGCTACCTCCATCATCAGGGCGATGGAGGCAGCAAGAACCTCTGAAACGTCAGTAACCTTCTACCAGGCTATACGTCGCAACATCCCAGAAGACAGCCATCTTCAGACTTACCGCCGTGGAAACCTCAAACTCTACATACTCGTAACTGACTCATTTCACACTCCGTCATAGAAGTCTCTTAAATTAAGAACAAACTATGAAAATGGTAATTTATTGAGCTCTTAATTTTCTTCAGAAAACATTCTCTAGTAATCGGAAATCCTATCAACACTATGTAATCACTGGCGCGCTCGCATTTTGTTTCGGATGTTCTGCACCTATAATACCAAACTTTTTTGGCGTTTTAGTAGTTAAATTACAAGTAGATTCAGTCTCAATCGGCATAAAAAAATCGTTCAGAGAACTTCGCATACGGAGTATTTAATTGCACGAAGAACTTGCCGACTGAAAGGACTGGGTACTACGTATTAACCGCATAGGAGAGGTATTAACGTTTTGGATGTTATGCCGTTCAATTAGTAAGAAACTAGAGTGAGGTCAGGGCAGGCCTAGATTTAAAAGTTTCAGAAGATAAATGGACACGTGTTGAGAATGAACGTAAATCGAGAAGTCGTGTGCTAGATGCATAGCCAAACGATTGCAAAAGCCTCCTCTCCACTGTCCTCACGAAGGCGTAGGGTGGGAAATTACTCAATTTATCCGAGTGTAAGAGATAGATGATGGCCACGGTGGTCTAGCGGTTAGAACGCTGGCCTTGTAATCCTGGGGTCCCGGGTTCAATTCCCGGCGGTGCCCGAATTTATAACTTGTGTTGGGCAAGGCCGTGGTCTAGGCAACACGGAGTTTTCCTCCGTGGCATCCCAACAATTACTCCGTTCACACACAGAAGAAGGCAATGGCAAACCACTTCTGGATCATCTGCCAAGAACGTATATGAACAGGTCCCAGTCCGAGAAAAGGATGGAAGGATCCTGTTCATATGGAGCTGTCGTCAGACAGAACACTAATAATAATAATAATAATAATAAAAAAGAGATAGATGGCGAAAACTGCCAAAGGATTTGGTCCAGTCAGAACCTATAACGCATATAACAGGTATTAGAGGCGTCCAAATACATGTTCTGATGTTATCCACACAGCGTCTTTCTAAAATACACCATACTACTTCAGGGACGTGTTCTATGCACATAAACAACGAAAAATATCTGTGCAAACACGGCCCGCTAAATTTTTCTTTATGGGACAGTCTTAAAAGTGTTTTGTAACGCGACGGAAGTTAGTGATGTGGCGGAACTAGAATAAAGTATATAATACGCGTGCAAGTCAGTTCATAACACGCCAGGAATTCTTCAACCTTCGCCGTGCGAAAAGTTCTTCACGAGGCGCACAGCAAACTGTGTGAAAACACAAACGTAT